AGAGCTGTTGATGGAGAAGACACCAAAGAAAACAAAACATGAATTGATGGTCTAGAGGACGAGAGCTGGATAGTTTTGTACTCACCTCTCCTCTCAAGCAGCCGACTTTTTGCCGTTCGGAGACACAAACCACTCTTTCTCCGTGCCCTCCAAACCACCCCTGTCTGTTTGTTTTTTTGTGCACGCTTGACGAGCTCCCGCCATGTATCAGCCGGCAAAACATTGACACGGTGACTCTAGGGTTGTCCGGATCCCTCTATGAGCTTGCTACGTTGAGTGTGCGCTACGCACGGTTGGTGTTTAGGACGGAAGGGGCGGTGGTCTACTAATCCCGCCGCTCTTCTTGGGAAACATTTTCGCGACCTGCCCCATTTCAAAATGTTTGAGAATATTTTGTCAAACGAGCGACTTTTGCCCCATCAAAATGTTTGAGAATATTTTGCCGAAGATTTTCTCCCATAAACAGGCACCCGGCCATGACTCCCTCCCTGCCGAATTGCTCAAGATCGATGACGACGAACCCGTTGTCCTGAGACACCTCCATGCCATCCTCGTCAAGGTGTGGAACGGAGGAGATATCCCCCCAAGAGTGGAAGGACGCAACCATCAAGGTGCTGTACAAGAAGGGTGACCGGTCCAACTGTAACAACTACAGAGGGATTTCGCTACTATCTCACGTAGGCAAGGTTCCCATCAAGATCATCACCAACCGTCTAAGCGCCTTCTGCGAAGCCAACAACATCCTCCCGGAGGAACAGTGCGGATTCCGACCGGGGCGATCCACCGTCGACATGCTGTTTGTCGTGCGTCGCCTCCAGGAGCTGGGGCGGAGAAAGAAAATATCGCTCTAAATGTGCTTCGTCGACTTGAAGAAGGCGTATGATTCGGTGGACCGAGAGATGCTATGGAAGGTGCTGGCCAGGGCCGGGATTCCCGCGAAGTTAATCAAAGTCATCCGCCAATTCCACGATGGAATGCGGGCCCGGGTGCGCATGGACGACGGAGAACTATCGGACTGGTTCTTCGTCACACAGGGTGTGCGACAAGGATGTGTGCTATCCCCACTGCTGTTCAACATCTTCTTCGCCGAGGTCCTCGAGGTCGTCGTTATCCGATTCAGCGAGGATGATGTTGTTCTGCGGAATCTGGTGTGCTTGGAGGAGGGGAAGACGGAAGCGGGGGGGGGGGAGGAGACACCCCTTGACCGAATACGGAGGGCAGTATGGGGGATGCTGTATGCCGATGATGCCGGCGTCGTATCGAGGTCTGCAGAAGGACTGGCGAGAATGATGACCATCATCGTTGAGGTGTTCGGAGAGTTCGGGCTAACGGTGTCGGAGAAGAAGACGGAGACGCTCCTGATGCGCGCGAAGGACAAGCCGACTGCAACATCACAGTCCCCCCCGCCTCCTCCTCCACCACTGACTATCGAAGCCGCGGGACAGAAATACGCCCAGACGACCGAGTTCCGGTACCTCGGTGGTCTCGTCAACGAACATGGCGACCTCACCCGGGAGATCAGCTACAGGAGCAGAGGAGCGTGGGCGTGCCTCAGGCGATATGGCCAGGAGCTCTTCGACAGACCGAAAGCGCCATTCCGACTCAAGATCCGCCTCCTCCAGGCGGAGGCGATGGAGGCACTGCTGTACGGCTGCATGACATGGTCACCACTCAGCGGCCACTATCAGACGCTGCGGTCGACACACCACCGACTGCTCCTTCGAGTTATCGGGTACAAGCGCAAGAAAGACACCTACCGGCAGCTCTCGTACGCCCAGACGCTGAAGAGGGTCGAATGCCAGAGCGTTGAAGCCACGATCCGACAACGACGCCTACTGTTCGCGGGAGCACTGGCAAGGCAGCCGGACGGGCGACTCCCGAAACGACTGATGCTCGGCGAGCTGGCGGGGGAGGAGAAGCCACGTAGGGGGGGACAGGAATAGAACTGGCCGAAGTGTGTACTCGACGACCTGAAGGCCTTCGGGGCCGACCACGGATCTACGAAAACCGACCCAAGTTGTCTCGGAATTCCCGTACCGAAAGACACGGCACCGAAGTCAAGGTGGACGGAAGCCGCGAAGGTGGAGGGGGGAGTACCCTGGCATGCGGCGGTGCTGCAGGGAGCTGAGAGGTTCATGACCTCCTGGCACGAGAAGGAAGAAGAGGCCAGCCGACAACGAGCGCTCAAACGAAACCACAAGCCAACAACCAATGGGGCGGGAGGGGGGGAGGAGACGGACGAGACGGCGAGGGAAGAAAGCAAACGAGAAGAGACGGACCGAGTGGCACGACACGTGCCGGATTGAATCTCTTTTCGCCAATTCCCCCCCCCCCCAACGCTGCACCATTGCACCAACCCCCCAGTAGTAGTGATTTCGTACCACTACAATGTATCGCTGGTTGGTGGCCATGTTTGCGTGTTTGCTTGTTCGTTAGTGGTCTCTCCACCGTGTGCCTTGTTCTGCCTCATACTTCCTGTTATTTTCGGCCTGGTCCCTCTTTGTCCTCGCCCTTTTTTTTCATTTTTTCATTTTTTTTTCATTTTTTTTCTCTTCTCCTTACGGTTTCCATTTTTATTTTTTCTCCTTTTTTTTTCTCTTTGTCCTTTTTTTTCTCTCTTTTTTTTCTCTCTTTTTCTGTGCCTGATGGACTTGTCTCTGCTTGCGTTGTGAAGTACCAAGATTGAACCAAGGGAGTGTGCCTCTTTCTCTCCGGCCTATGATAGATAGTGACTGCTAATCTCAGTTGATACCCCGCATAGCGTGAAGAGGGAGCGGAGGATCCCAGAATATCTGTCGTTGATTTCTATTGACTTGCGGACCCCTCGGGGCCAGTTTATTTGAGTGTACCTTTTTAGGGTAAGTTAACCTGTGACCACGGGAATCGACCGCGTCGAGTGTTGGATCAGTACGGATATACGAAGGTACTGGGTAGAGAGAGATCGGAACGGTTTTTAATGTGAAGACAACAACAACAACAACAACAACAAGTGAAACAAAATCTTTTTCCGCAAATGTTTGAAAATATAAACATTTTCGCAAAGATTTGGCGACCATAAACATGGGTCTCTGACGTGGATTTTTTAGGGTCAACCAAAACTTTTTTCCCTACACGCACGATACCCCACGGTAGCAGACCTTGGGCTTGAAAGATGAAGCAGAGACGTACCTCCTGCCGCGTGGCGTTGCTGTTGCTGTTGCTTCCTTCTTCGGGAAGTTATTGGTGAATATCACAACCCGTGGCGGCCCAAAACACCCAACTTGAAGGGACCGCTCGCAACCGTTGGCATTTTTGCTTCAACACAACCTTTTTTTTTCGGCGCATTCGGCACCTCACGGCCCCAAACCTTGGCAGTGCCCAACAGCCCATGTTTCCAGCTCCTTCCGGACACCTTTCTTGAGGCAACTTGTTGAGTATTTGGCGAGATATCGGCTAACCTGTGCTAACACGTGAACAGAAGAGCGTAAAACCCTAGAAAAATCACCGCTGCGCTGCTGGCTCTTCCCCTGGTGCCAGGTCTTTTTGATTTTTTTGCCTCATCTGTCTCCTATCCTCGTTAACCTACACGACCCTCTTTTTTCAGTTTTCCACGATAACGCATTTTGATTTTGATATTGCGCCCATTTGGATTTTGATTTTCGGCACTTCGTTAATACACGCCCTAATAATATAATAATCGGAAAAAATCACCGAAAAAAGAATAATAATATCACCTACGGAGCACAGGCCTACGCAGTACGGGACTACGGGACCCTGCGGAACCCCGTAATCTCGCCGCATCTCGGAGACATGGAGCTTGTAGATGGAGCGCACGTTGCTCGCTCACTCGCCTCTTCACCTTTTCCTGATGCAACCTCTAGGCTAACGCACAGGAAACAAGCTAAGGTCACATCCATCCTGGGGCCACTGGCTTCGCCCTTTGAGCGCGATGAAGGTCGTGTTCGTGCATTTGGACCTCGGGATCGGTGAGACACGTCGCCAAGATCCGAGATGCTTCTCCGTTGCGTACACCTCACCGCACCTCCATATGTAGATGCTCTGTGCGGGCAGTGTTTGCGTGCCCGGCCATGAGCGGCCGCCAAGGGTAAGCGTAGGACGAAGATGTACACGTGTCTTGATGATCTCTTGCAACAAACCCGAGTTGTTCGTTCGAAGGACAATGACACATGGGTACAAAGAACTCTCCGCTTCAGCTACACCAGTACGCCCAACTTGCTACTTTACATACCATGGATTCGGGCATCTCTGCCGACGAGAAGCGGCGCGAGCTTCGCTGCAAACTGCAAAACACAACGCTACGCCTGCGAGACCCCACAATTCAAGCCGGGGGTACGAAAACTGTGATTAGCGACGTCAAAGACTGGGCATATGGCTTGCACCCTACCGCAGCGTGCAGGTAGAAAAATGGCAAGAGGACGAGCAGCTGCAGCCGCAAAATCGCAGCAACAGCGTACATACAAAGCGGTAAATAAGACCCGCAGCATGCACGAATCAGCTGTAGGGGCTGGGGGTAACAGTGGAAGACAGCCGTACTAGTTTTCGACGACGATAGTTGAAGTGTCTATCCGATACACATACCGAGACGCCCAAGCACTTGTACTGCCAGATTCCAACTCCAGCGAGAGCGCAACTCCACCGTGTAGTTTGAACATCTGCATGTGGCACCCCTCTTTACCATTGCAACAGCTTTTTATGGCGTGCATGTTGACTCAAACACTCTTTCCGCCCGGCTGCCACGATCCAATACCTAGACAGCTGGGTGGACAGCACCTGGCTGCTTCGCCACACGTGCGTACCCACTACAGGAGTAGGCACGGCGTTGAAACCTTGCTTTGTGGCCTCGGTCTGTATTTTCTGAAATTACAGCCAAAACATGCCGCACGCTTCGTACGGTGTCGAGCAGCAGTATGTCCAAGGAGGAACCCGATTGGTCAGGACCCAGACCTAATTGTTTGCGCGCAGGGAGCCCGACACGATCGAAAGTTTTTTTGTCAACCCTCCGACCAATAAGACTCCATTCACCACCCACGGAAGACGCCCGCGTCAGGTGGTCCGGTACGGGTTTTAGATGGTACTGAGCAGAGACCGGAAAGGTTTAGAATGTGAAGACGGCAACAACAACAACAACAACAACAACAAATCCGCACGCAAGGTGGGGCGGAGATGCTGGTGGTGAACGCTGCGGTGGCCGCATGCCGAGCCGGGCACGACGTGGTGATATACACGTCGCACCACGATGAGAGCCGTTGCTTCAAGGAGACCACGGGGCAAGGTGGGTCAAGTCGTTCGGTTTCTGAAATTTGCTCCGGCTACGTGAGTGTTTGTTTCATGCCGCTGCACGTGCTGGAGAGGTGTTATGTGAATCGCGACAGGCGCCAGGCACCAAACAGAACGCGTTTGCCAGGTGAACGAAGAGCGAGGTTGGCCCCTGTACTGTTCTCTTACTCGGTTAGTGACGAGTGCTGGGTTGTAGTATTTAGCAAGTTTCGCTGGTTCTGCCACGCAATGTAACATGAGCCAAGCTCGTAAATAGTTCTCGGGCTCAGGTGCAATCGCGGGCACCTATGTGGAGGGGTTGGTTGCTCTTGTCTTGACCCTACTCGTGTCGCAGTTTTCCCTTTCGAAGTAGGCGTTTTCGGGTAGATAGGGACTGGCAAGAGAAAACAAACAGAACTGCCGACGACCAAACGCCAGAAACAAAAAAAATCACAAAAAAAAGGTCCTTCGAAGATAGTCGAATCTTCTGCATGGCGCCCCCAATGTGGGTATCCCGCACGCTCACTGTTGCTGACGGTCTTCCTGCATTTTGTTTTTGCTCGCTAGGCGTCCTTGCGGGAAGAATCCGGGTACGGGGGGACTGGCTTCCGAGACATCTCGCTTTCGGCCGTTTCACTGCGCTTTGCGCCGTAACAAGGTGGGCGAAGAATGATCGCGTCGGCGGGTTTCCACGCGTAGAAGGCGTGTGTCAGATTGGGTGCAATGCGCTCTGCCGTGTGCCGTGTTTCGGTTCCAATGTTCAACCTTTTTTCCCGGCGGGGGTATCGCTTGAGTTCGTGCGACACGGCCTGCACCTGCTGTTGTTTGTACCCAGAGCGACGCGCGGGTCCAAAGAACCCTCATTCTGCGTGCCCTCACTCGCCCCAGCTTGGTTCGTTCTACGAAGGTGTTCGCGTTGACTCTTCTTGCTCGTTCGTTTTTTTTTCGTTTTCTCGCTCTTCACTTTTCGTCGGCGTGCCTCTCGTCTCGTCTCTCTTGTCAGGATGCTGTGGCTTGCCGTCTGCGTCGTGGCAAGCGAAACCGTTGCCGCCCTTGTGGCCTCGGAAACGGGGGGGGATGGTGGGGGGGTTGGGCTTGGCGACGGCAATGCAAGGAGCGAGGTGGTTCCGACGAGGGAAGGAACAGAAGACGAGGAAGGCAGAAAAAAGGGTGCTGCTACGGTTGTGTTTTGCGACGGGGTGTCCGCGCCCGTGCCTCTTCTACGACTAGCAGGACCGGTCAGTCGTCTGCTGCTGTTAAAGTTTTCTGTCCAACGATTTTGTTTTTTTATATCGTCGACCTACATGGGCGTGGGGGGGTTGTACACAGGGCTCTTGTGGTGTATTTGGAATAGTGTCGCTGCTTTTTGTTTGTCGTGCTTGTCTATCGCGACAAAATTACCTCTTCCCAAGAATTCGGATCATGGAAGGCTGCGCGGGCGTTCATCGATGTATCGTGTTCGCTTCTACTCTGCAAGTGGACACCTCCGAGGAACATCCTGCTATTTTTTTCTTTTTTTCGATCTCCCCGCCGTTCTCGGGACCCCTTCGTCGTGCTACGCGGCATCCACGGTGGTCTCAGCAGCTTAAGTTGTTCCGCTTCCACTAGTGCACGCGTCATGCTTTTCGCCCTGGCGTGAATGTGCCACGGGTGCAGAGGGCCTTCAATTAGTAATATTTTCTCTTCGGATAGTGCACGCGTATGCTATGCTTTGTGCCCTGCGGTGTTCCCTTAAATTGCCCTTCAGGCCGACCTTGCGGTACCCTCTCTCCTACCCCTCCTTCGTCTTGTTTCCCGCCCGAGATGAGAACAAAAATCCATTCCCCCGAGATGAGAAAAAAATTCTCTTTATGCGCGAAAGTGGCGGTAGACGGCCCGAACGTCCACGAAACCCTTGTCCTAGAGGCAGGAAGCATGGATGATCGCCCGCATCAAGATGAATGTTCAGTCGATTGCCGAACTGGTTCGGCAAGAATATCTGCCCCCCCCAGGTTTGGCGATGGTCTGCTTCGTGGCACTTCCTGTCAACGCGCCCGCGCGTCGAGAACGCTTGTGCATGTTATGAGTTAAGCGTTCGCTGCTGTACGCCGTCCACTGACTTCTTTCTGATGCAGGTGCTGTTCTACTGCCACTTTCCGGACAAGCTTCTCTGCGTGCGAAGGGGGTCGGCTCTGAAGAGGGCTTACCGGTGGCCGCTCGACCTGTGAGAGCGCGTTGGGTCTTCTGTTGTTGTTTGCGGCCACGCGCTAGTTGTCCTTGTTGCTCAGGGAGACTTCCATCAGTCGCTGCTGTTTTTTTTTTTGGTGTTATACATGTATGATGATCTTGCCTTGGTAAATATGTTTCCCGCCACTGCAGCGGTTATTGGGGAACGTTATGCGGAATTTTCCGCCGCTAATTCTGCAGAGCATACTCCCAGATTTCGCCTGGCTGGCTGTTGATATATTGCTCATGGATATTGCTCGACATCGTACAACAGGCTTTCCCAGGTGCTCGTGTTTTGTTTTGTTTTTCATGAACTTTCTTCTGTTTTACTGGTGTATTTGTTTTTGCCGTCTCCTTTGCATTACCCCCCCGTAACATCTGCCCTTAACGCGCCGTGCCCTAAATACGGGTTTTTCTATTGAACCAGCCTGGAAGAGGTCACAACCGGAAGCGCCTCCTCGGTTGCGGTGAACAGCGACTTCACGGCGGGAATTTTCAGAGAAGCTTTCCCGCGGCTGGGGAGGGCCTTTTCTTCAGGTGAACGAACGCTTCGTGTGGTGGTAACGACACCGTCTGATTGCTGCTTGTGCGTGCTTTTTGTTAGAAACCCCGCTTGCTGCAAGCGAGATACGCCGGTGGTGGGGTTGAGCAAAGCCATGGTTGATCAGAGGATCTTTGCTTCGGGTGTTGGGACCACACTATCCTGAGGGCCCCCACGCCGTATGCGTCCCCTTTTTCCCTGCTTTCCAACCAACGGCTGTGTTTTTTTGTTTTCTCCTTGGGCCATCGCGTCTTGTTGCGCCATTTGTTTTTTCTTCTTCTCGTGTATTCGGGCCAGACAAAGTTTGTTGTTTTTTGGCTGGGCGGGACTCTGCCTCATGTTTTTCTTTCCCATCCGGTACATCTCTGCGCAAGTACGACATCCTTAGCTTGAGGGGAAGGGACAGGCTCCCGAAAGCGTTCGTTGTCTGTATATTTTCTGTGGTCCCGTCTCCAAGTGTAGGACAAGGAGCCGAAACAGTGCACCACACTCTTCGGTTAGTCGTTGCCACTGATGTTGCTGTTGTTGCTGTTGCTGTTTGTTCGGTCGTCGTGCTGCCGGTTCAACGAAATATTCCTGCATCCGCCAACGGCTGTGGCGACCAAGCAGAGCAAAAGGGGGAAGTACGAGAGGGGCCGGGGGGAGCAGGCGGACATGCCGCGGCTGGAGCCGTGGCGGCAGGGGGTGGGAGCGGAAGGGTGTTGAGGGTCTTGTACCCACCCACCGACGTCGAGGCGTACCCGGCACGGGGACACGGCGAAACGGCCCCTCCCTCGAAAATGGGTAAGGCTCGACTGCGTCAATAGTGCAAACTATCGAGCGCCCTTTATTCCCCTTTGCGTGATGGCACGGAGAGGGGGGGTGTACAGACACGAAGGCGGGGTCCAGCAGACAGAGAGGCAGACAAGACATAAGTAGCGAGGAAGTGTGTACACGCCGTCGCATCTCCTCCCAGCGTATGGTCAACACAAACCATCCACGCGCCCACTACGAGGTCACCAGTATTCTCCCCAGACACTACCATGGTTGTCTGTGTCGTGGAACGTCCTACCTGAGCAAGCCCGCGGCATTGTTCGTCAACATCGAAAAGTACTCCCTCGTGCGTATTGCGCCTCCCCCCCCCCCAAGTTGGTAGCATGTCTGGGTCCACCCCTATTTCATTCTCCGCTTGTTCGCACTTGCCACGAGCGATGAAAACCAACGCGTCCCGTGGCATCTATTATAGGCGTCAAGCCGTTTCGCACGAACAAGCGCCCTGTAGTAATCGCGGGTCTTGGGGGGGATTATGTTGCTTGCAACATCAAAGGAACGGTACCAATGGTCAGGGTTGACTTGGAGCCTGCCTTTCGATACGCCGCATGTCTTGACCTTGCCCTTGTGGACACCTACCCCTACCCGCTACTGTTGCACGTGACGCACCTTTTTGCCAGGACCAATCGTGTCCCTGAACCGATTCGAGAGGAAAAAGAACCTCCCCCTGGCGGTAGAGGCCCTCGGATGGGCCCTCGGTGAGATGGGCGTCGAGGAGGCAAGCCTCAGAGGGCTCCGGCTCGTTATCGCCGGTGGGTTTACCGAACGTGTTGTGGTATCTACCTACCCTTCGTGTGGGGTGCGATATCCCAACTTTGTTCTGGTGCAGGCATGTTTGGAATATTTTTCGAAGGGCTCAAGGCTGCTTGAGGGGCCAAGGGGGGAGACGTAGGGATAAGGACGTTAGGGTAAAGGGCGTTAGGGTTTGAATAAGGACGTTTCATGTTGCGCCCCCCGCTGCCCCCGGTCTCTTCTCGCGATGACGACGAGTCCTTGTCCGCAACACCACCGGCGAGATGTGTGGCGTAGGGTTGTTCGGGTCTGTGGAGGTTCTCTTCGTTATGTTGTACTTACCAGTCTCCCTATTTTTTTCACGGCGATTTCACCGTGAACCACTCATTTTTCGCGGGACGCGTGGCTACGCCTTCCGTGGCGTTTTTTTTGGTAGCACATTCGCTGCGTTTTGGAGGGAAAGTTAGATTCGTTTGACCGAATGCGTTGGGGGCAACACATGCGCAAGGGGCTCACAAAACCGCAACCAGTTCAAGGATGGGTGTTGTTTTGCCCCGCTCGCGGTTTTTTATCCTTTGGCGGACAAGAATCTCGGTGGTTGATGCCGGTTTCTTCTCCTGTGGATATGTTTTACGGACGCTGGTTGATGATTTTGCTTCCCCCTATGCATTTGTTGATTTTGCTTTCGCCTAGAAGGCCGTTGATGTCCATTTTGCTCGTTCGTATTGTCGATGCTATTTGCCGGAAGGTGGCTACGACAAGCGTGTACCGGAGAACGTGGATCACTTGTCCGAGCTCGAGGCTTGCGCCGCAAGGCTCGGCCTGGACAGCCTCGTGGAGTTTCGGACTAACGTCGCCGACGGTAAGGCGGAACACGCGGAATTTCGTGATTTCCTTTTTTTTCTTTTTTTTTGCGATTGTTTGTGTTGTTGGTTGGACATGAAAGGGCTGAGGACGAGCAGTACGGGGGGGCGCCTGCGGTGCAACCCGTGCACTTGTGTGTTGAGAAGTTGCTTTTTCTTTTTTTCGCTTGACCCGGGCGTACGTGATGGTGCTGCCGTTCGGGCTCTCCCTGCCGGTGATGTAGGAGGTAGGTCGACGTAGAAGGTGATGCCAACAGATCCAAGAATTTCCCTCTTCTGCTACTGAGAAATTCTATGGCCTCGATTGAGCCGCTGGTTCCACACTCTGCAGCCGCCGGCGAGAGGTGTGTTGCTCCTCCGCTCGCCAGGGCCTTGCTCGCTTGCTACTCATTGCCGCGCAAGTGAAGAAGGAGCCAGCTTCCGCGGCTCGTCGCTCCTTCCACTCTCCTGCTTCCACCTGCCGGCGTAGGAGGGGCTACAGCCCATGTTTTGAGGGTGCCCGTCGACACAATGGTTCTAGCTGCATACCATTTCGCCTTTCGCAGGTAGAGCAGTATTGTGTCATATTCATGCGTTCCCCCCCCTCCCCCCCTGCATCCTCTGTCCACTCCGCCCCAACCGCACACGCAGAAAACGCAGCTAGCACGGTCGATGAAAATTAAACACACACACGCACACACAAACACATGATGTCCAACGCCTACCTCGTCGCATGTTCAGAAAATGCCATCATGCGTCCCCCCCGCATTCCTGTTTCTACCCCCCCCCCCACCTGGTGTTTTTTTGCCCGTTCGCCGCAACCCCGCCGCATGCCCAGACGCAAGGGCTGAGCTCCTGCGACAGGCGTCGTGCGTGCTCTACACCCCGTCCCGCGAGCACTTCGGCATCGTTCCCGTGGAGGCGATGTGTTGCGGGGCACCGGTGATCGCGGTGAACTCGGGTGAGACCTCCTATCCTCCGGTCAATAAAATCTACATGTGTATCTCTCCGCTCGTTTCGTAGGTACTTTTTGGTTCTGCTTTTCACAGAGCGGTGGGTGCGTCCTGTGACGGTTCGGCGATTTCTCGGCACTTTAACATGTAGCTCTGACGTCGCCCGGGGTTTCTTGGGATCGTTGGGGAGGTTTGTATTGGCCCCGCGTTGCTTCTTCTGCGGCGTCAACCTCACTCCCCGTGCGTTGCCCCTGGGGAGGCCCTTCCACTTGAATCGCTCGCCTGTAACGCGCCCTCCGGCAGACCGGGTTTGGCGCAAAGATGACCACAGGCGGCCTGGGTCTTGCCCTGCACTTTCCCTACTCCATAGGAACCTTCTCGCACCAGGTCTCACAATCGGCCGCCCCTCCCCAGCCCGGTCTGGTCCAATCCTCTGTAGTCAGTCGTAAAGTTACCGAACTCGCCGACGAACAATCGCTATTTTTTTGTTGCACCCGTTGTTCCTACACAGGCGGTCCCCTTGAAACCGTCGTTCACGAACGCACGGGGTTTCTGTGCGATGCCACCGCGGAGGCGTTTGGTTCCGCCATCGTGCGCCTCGCGCGCGACCCCTCCCTCGGCGGAGCCATGGGCGAGAGGGGACGGCGGCGCGTCCAGGAGAATTTCTCGATGGAGGTATGGTATGTAGGTGAAAAAGTTCCCGAACGGGGTGGGGGTGGTGGAAATTCTGAACCTGTCTGTGTCTCAATATTGTTGCCACGGGCGCCTTGATATTTTTCCAACGTGTAGTCTATCTATCGTTGGGTCAGACCGAGGGCAGGCCGGTATGGTAGGCAGGGCCGGTATGGTAGGCAGGGCCGGCATGGGTACATCCTTTGGTCCCGCATCTCACGGCAGGCAATGATATCTACACTGGTGAACAATGTCATTCGTCGATGACGCTGTTGTTGCAGCCTAGGCGCAACGTGCACTCAGAAGCGATGTGAATGTCCTTTGTGGCACTCCGAAGCATTTCGCCTCTCTTCCGCAAGCAAGCGTGATCGCGTGCTCTGGAAAGTAGACTCACTCCTTTGAGGTTCCAGTCGGTTTGCCGTTCCGGGGATGTGTCGTGTGACCTCTCCTGTGATCTGTCTTTAACTACCCGCTGTCATTTCTGTGGCACTCGTAGCACCGCGTTATGCTTGCGCGTTCATCGCCGGCATCCGTACCTTACCACCCAACCAAAAGTCACGCAGTGTCCCCGTACGCCTGACCTTAGCCCTCTTGTTGCCTTGGGGCCTTTGGTTGGCTGTGCTCTCATTCTGTCAGTCCTTCGCCGGAGCGTTCGAGGCGTCCCTTCAAGAACTGGCATTTTCGTCTCCTTCTGGCGGAGTGCGATTCTACGCTACCTTGTTTCTTGTGGGTGCAGCAGTTGCAGCTATTGGGGCAACGCTTGCTCTGTAGTCTTTCGTGAGATCATTCCCGCCGCATCGAGACGGGAAATGCAGCATCGACCCTGGAGATGTCGCGGCATGGTCGGCAACTGCCATGACTCAAGGCGCCGAGATTCATCGGCGTCGCCTATCTGAAGCCTGCGAATTATCGTGGCCGGTGTCCTATGTAGAAGGAGCATAAGAATGAGGATAATCATGTCCTGTTGTCTTCACTTGCGGTAGCGTAAGCTACATCCTAGTTTGCTGTGTTGAAAATTTGCGCTGCATGTCGATGCGAGTAGAAGTCGTTGTTGTTTCTTCCATGTCGGACCAAGGCAAAGCAATATATGGATAGATAACTATTGCATAGGTTTCCGCCATGTGGAGTCAGGGGCGAACGCACTTTAAACAACGGCGGGCCTGGTGTATCGATCGTCTTCTCTTCTTGCCGCAACCAGTGGTCTTCTTACTCTCAACCTATCGTTTGTGTCGGCGCAACACGGCAAGATTCCTTTCCCCGGTTGTCTGGCTCAGCTCGCCTCGCCCTACTGCACAGCTGGGCAAAGCACAACTACACGAGCAAATCCCACTGGTTGTGCTGGAATCATCAACAGGGGCGGCCAGACTGAAGAACGGGGGCGCGTCTGTCAACGCTGACTTTACGGGTCAACTCAACGGGCTTTTCGTCTTTCTCGCGGTTTTGGGATCACCGCTGCACGCACATGTGGTGCGATTGTCGGCCACACTTTGTGGCTCACTTTCTTCTTCTCTCGCCCGCCGCCCGAGTGGGGACAACACCGGAGGTTGGGGTATTCAGATGAGGCAAGGTAAGCAACCCTCAAGAATTTCCTGAACTTTATATCACCCTTTTGCGACTCAGATCGAGCAGACGATGTCGGACTCTTGCTTACCACCACAGACGGGCCAAATCACGCACCTAACAGCGCGCTTGATCACTTATTTGCACACAAGCTCAACGGAAGAAAGCTACCCACCCCATCCAACTCCACTCGCTGGCATACACATGCACCCCGTACGCCCTGGGTGCGTGTCTAGACCAGGGCAGAGAAGATCAGCAAGAGATCGGTTGAAAGGGTGGCGAGCGTCATCGCTAACAATACAATATTGAAAACAAGCAAGTGAAAGAGAGCAGTTTTGGACTAATACAGTACCGTGGAATCAATCAATGCAGTACCACGAGCTCTTGCCCCCTCTACAACTACCCATGAAAGCGATACAACTTTAAATGCCATTTTTCATTCGCCCACAAATCGTGCTATATTGACAGCCTCAAAATGCACAACGACAATAAGCCCCTTCTGCCGCAAACGGAGGTCCGTTAGGAAGTTCCACGCGGCCGGTTCAAATCAGGTTCACCCGCAAATCTTTTATTTGGAAACATGAGTTTTCAGCCGACCAGACGGTGGTCAAAATCCGCACATCGATGACTTTCATTGCAGCCCATCAGGTGCGAGCAGGCACACACCCTTCTCATAGCCGTTTCCCGAAATCATCGCATGAAACAAGGGTTGAACATCTGTCAAGACAAGAGCAACCGTCCAGAAGTACACGTAACCGCGACAACAGAGATACCACCACCGGACAAATCGAGACTGAAAACGGCACGCACACTACGGTACTTCTTCCACGGTACGGTTTCAATGAAAATTGCTTCGTATACGGTAGTTCACACCAACCGTTTGCATCTCGCTTCATGCGGAGAACGCTCTCAAAAACGGTACGAGTAGTCCCGCTCGATGTCATCGGCCGTGTCCAAGGAACTGTCGTGTACGTCATCCGTCAAGTCGCCGAAGTCGTCATCCGAGTCCACGTCGTCGTCCTCGCCGTCTCTGTCGTCAAACTCGACGTCGTCGGCCGTGTCCAAGAAACTGTCCTGTATGTCATCCGTCAAGTCGCTGAAGTCGAAGGAAAACGCGATGTCATCATCCGAGTCCATGTCGTCGTCCTCGCTGTCTCCGTCGTCCGACACGACGAAGAAGATGCCGGAGCAGCCGTAAGTGGCGGTATCCTCGAACCTGCTGATATGGATCTTGCACTCGCCGGTGGGGACATCGGCCATGATGATGTCGTAGTCTCCCTCTGCGCGTGCAACGCCAGAACGAATGTTGCTTCAATAAAATGATCCCATGATATGGATGACCCGGAAAGGCTTCTGACCGAGGGGGCCAATCTCCCACACTACTGACAGTTTTGTTAATTAAACCGTCCGTGGGCATGCCCATGAGAGGCCCATGGGCGACCCATGAAGTGCACACTGTGGGCATTTCAACCTACATATATATGTCGAACTTCGCTACCGGCATATCAACCTACATGTAGACTATGTACATAGAACGTAGCCACCTTCACATCAACCTCGAACTTAGCCACCAGCGCCAACCTAGCTCTGTGAGCAAGGAGTTAGGCTTAGGGTTAGCGCCAATGGGTTCATTTCCCAGAAGAACTGCTATCGCCGGACGATCAACCAAGAGGCTAACGTTGCAGCCACCTGCACAATCATTCGGGGGAGCGTAGGCACAGCGGAACACTCCCGGGAGGGTTTCGAAACTTCTTTGGATTTTTTTTCAGGGATCTTTCTATGCCTATATCTTGGCCTATCACCAAAGATAATTCGGGTACCCACGTGAATCCTTGCAGCCGATGTCGGGCTTGTCGCAAAGTGTAGACACGAACTCCCCATTGCATCCACCCAGCCCGTTGTCCTCGTAGAGCTCTATGTTGAACCGGCCTACCCTCGAGTCGACCTCGCTGAAGTAGTCAAACTGGTGCAATGATGTCCACACAACAAGTGGATTTGCAGGTCATGGCGTCGGTTCGTCTCCATCTTCTCGGGAATGATCAAGTACAATGCAGTCAGATATAACGCCTTCACCGCCGGAACGCGGTGTCCTCAAGTTGATCTTACCCGTTCCATCTACGAGTCGTGTAGTGCAACACGTACGTCCATTGCTTCGACGAAAGAGAGGGGGGTGGACGCAGGCTTGTTTGCAGGCCCCAACGCTGTGCTGAGAGGTTGCGTAAATTACCATGCAGTATCTACTCGTGCGTCGGTTGAATGCCGGAATCATCTAGCTCGATCGACGTTCTAAACTGTCGCATGTCGCGTATTGGTCACACCGCGGTAGGGAGCGATAACATTTCAGCGTTCATGTTTTCAATTGCACAGGTCACGAAGAGAAACGACAACGCGGCTTCGCGGATCGAAAATCATAGTTCACCTGCACGGTATATTCTTGGCCCACGTAAGCCAAGTCTCCCGTCTCCGGCGAAATGAAAGTCAACCCCTGAACGAAATCGGCATCCGGATCGACGACGATGTCGTCAAGTGCCGTGAGCGTGAATCCACCCGAACAGGACTGGTTGGTCGGGTCTTTGGCGTCTGGCCCACCTGAAGGCGCGATCAGAAGTCGGGAATGATACCAATGTCGAAGGCATTCGTCAAGTTCGTGAGTTCACATCAAGGTTGTCTTGCTGCAATTCAGCACGTTGGGAATACGGTAGTACGTGGTAGGAAAAGTACGTCCGTACGGACAGGTTACATGCAGAGGTAAATTTATGTGTTCTATCCGTCCACAACGAACCTTTGCTTCGCGACGCATGGAAAAATCTACTGTGTTTAGTCGCACGGTCTCACTTTGAAAAATCGAAGTGTTATGCAGTCCACTACGCAGTATGGCATGGTTGACTCGTGGCTGATGACCCCACGGGAATGGTCCATGCCATTGACTATGTGATGGGGTCAGTATCGTGCGTTCGTCTGCATGTGAATCTGCCACACATTCAAAGAGTCCACCTTCATTTTGTTCGCCCTACAAATATGCATATGTAGTCTATGTATGTACCGTACAGGATCCTCGTTTTGAAGTCTGTCTGGGTCTCCCTCTAACATGGCGTTGCTCATTCGAATGTATCTCTTAATATTTATTTAAACAGTTTGCGGCAAACCTTGTAAGCTCCTCCGGAGGTCCCGGCCATTGGCTCCGGCATGACGACGTCGTAATCTCCTTCGATGTCGTGGCACCCGTCCTCCCCGTACGGGCAAAGCGAGGTGATCCACTGACCACACTCGCCCTACGGCAGAGAAGGGATACCGAGAAACACATGACATCGTCATCAGGATACATGGAACTACAGTAAGGGAAACTGCCAGCTAAAACGTTCGCGAGAAACAAGAAGATTTTTGGTTTATTCCCTATTTGAACCCCTCTACAGTAGTCTGAACAGTGAAATCTTCCGCAGTCGCCCTTTGAGATGCCAATCCCAGCACATACCACATCGATGAAAGTGCGCCAAGCAACGCAAAACCCATACCTCTTTGCAGCTGGAGCCGCAGTAGCATAGATCGATCTCGACAAAGCTGTTGGGGACGTTATTGGTCCATTCCACCGTATACGTCCTGCAAGCATGTATGTCAGAGCATTAATGTGAGTCGACTCCATTACTGCAGCAACTCTGTGCCCTCAGGACAACATTTTTCTATGAACGAATGAAACCTATTTACATTGCGACACCTTTGAGACGAGCACGTTCAAGGTTCGGGCGAACCACTTCGAACAGGAAAATGCCTCAGAAGCAGCCATTGAGCCGTCGGTAGTCTACTGTACTAATTTGATGACAATGAACGGGAAAACTTACACCTGACTTCACATGAAGCAGTAGCAGGTTATTGGTATTGAACATCGCGTAGATTCGAAAGGTTTTTGCGCAACCCACTGCCATCCCCAGGAATTTTTGCCCCTTCCTATTTTCACCACTGAACTATAAGTGAAAAAAGAAGTTCGTACTTCGTATCAATTATTTTGCGCAGTCTCGTCGACCCACCCAGATAGACCGATTGGAGTACTTAAGGCCAGACTACAGAATATGTTGTTCCCGATGTTCCATGTGGTCCACGTTTCGATCCTGTCAACAAGTTCCACAGCGATGGAAGAGTATCATTAGATCGTCTAGACTACGAGTATCCCGCCTGTGAAACAAAACGCCAGGGCCCTTCGCCCCACGCCAGGTGGCATCCTGCATCACACTCGGGGCGCACCTGCTTGAGATGACGGTCATCCCTTCAGACGGCGCAATAACTTGGAATTCTTCGCCGGCAACGGACGCGACGTCCAGCAAACCGACGAGGGCGGCACCCGCAACCACACCAGCAGTGCGAACCATATTTCACGCGCAACGACGGAGGCGAAGCGTCGCGGAGGAAATACAGTGAGGCCGGGGCTGGGTCCTCGGAGGGTAGATACCGGTCTGTCGCGTTCTGCGCCTGAAGTCCTTCTGCTAAGGGAGAAGAGGGGAGGAGGTGTGGTGGGTTGATGTATCATTACTAGATCATCACGCACAGCAAGCCATGATGCCACAGCAAGATCCGTGTTTTTTTTTGTGTGTTTCAAAACTGTATGAAGAGTTTCATTTCATGACGATGGGAGATATGGGCATTTCGGAACTTCCAACTGTTTCACAGCTGAAAGGATCTGGTTTAGTCGCTTTGTTCGCCGAACCTTGTGGCATGAACGGAGAAACAGACCTCTTTAATTACATCTTGTGAACATCTACATGGAATTCATGTACAGTAAGTCTCCATCCGTTGTTGCAGCAAACAACAGGCAAATTGCGTTACGTTTGGTGGATGTCCTTTCGATTCACTCTACATGTCTGCCCAGCTGCACCTCGATAATTATTGTAGATTCTTCGAATGATAGCAACTTTGTCTACCGGTGGAGGGTTGGCTGGAGATCACGACCATCCACAGCGGGCTTTGGAGCATATATTCATTATTTTTGTTTGGGCGAATGAATTGAATGTCAGATTGTTGTCACAACGAGAAATTAGGGCAAGCGCCCCCAAAGCTTGAATACACCTACCTGCGTTCTCACAAAAGGAAGAAATATAATCTCCTTCTCATGAACGGGGATTGAGGCCAGGACGGATGTTGATATGCCCAAATCCCCCAAAAGGGATGAAGCTGTTCCTCTGGACAGCGCAGTCTGCAGGCCCTTTGCCGATTGCTCCATACTGTAGGTTCTGAATGAATCTATTTCACATATATATCGTACGCAGGTTGTGCTACCTCCAGTCGATTGCTCCAAACCGTAGCCTAGGTTCTGAAGTTATCGATGCATTTTCACATATCGTACGCAGGTTGTGCTACTGTAACTCGTATGGCACTTTGACCGGACGAACTGGGCTCTACTTGCCTGTAATCATGTTCCCATCAAATCGTGGCGATTGGTATCTCTCTGTGCGAATAAGATAGCCGTGGGCCGTGTCGGACCAATGCGAAACACCAATGCAGTTACGGCAGTGACCATGGGGCCTTGACAATAGCGCCATGTGTCCAAACTGGACAAAGAGGAGGCCATGCACCGATTCGGGTCGCGCCGGGGACGAGAAAGAGCGGAAAGAGACCAGGTTGAGCGGGAAGAATGTGCACATACAGTAACGGTGTCAGCCCCAGAGCAATGGTCTTAATACGATTTTTTCTGTCTCCCGGCCGAACAAACCAACCGTAGCCATCACTGTACCCTACTGCTGTAGAGCACCCCCTCGATGCATCCTGGTGAATGCTGTTCCTCCTTCCTGGTTGTGAGTACAACAATGCTGTCGTATTCCTCGTTTGGATGCAGCTACGGGAGCTGGTCGACCCGTTCTCTAGGCACCGTGTTTTCGCACTAGCTGTGGTGGCCACAGGAGTGAGTGCATCATCACACCGGAGATCGCCAACCCTGCTATGACTGCATGGTGACCGACGTCCGCGCAGATGCCGCCATGTTCAGTTGCTACTGGCTTTGAACGGCGACGCCTCTTACCTCTTTGAGGCGCCTCTTGTCTCTAAAGGGCAACAGGTAATTCTTACGAGGAAGCAAGGAAAACGCACGACGAGGCACAGAAAAAACGGGCAAGACCGAGTCGAGTCCACTTGGCTTCAACACACATCAGTTTCTTCTGAGAACAAACGGTCCTTCCGAGATGCCATGCACACTACTGTAAGGAGGAAATCCCCGTCGCTCCAGAAAAACGGCTCAAACAGAACGCACCAACACGTTTTGTTGACGACTCTCACGCCCACGTCGCCACGGCTAGCAATTACCCCGAACCGCCTTCTCCACATCCGCCATCAGAGGAGCTCAAGCCTGTTCCGCGCTTTTACAACTTGCTAACCACCACAGGAGCGCTTGGATACCCCAGCTAGCCTAGCGTTCCTAACCCCTACATATACATGGCGCGAAGGAGGAAAATGACAGGACGAGATCGTTAGCAGAAAATTACACCCCGCCTACCGATGCTACAGCACGCCTACGTAGCAGTATTTTATTCTGCAACACCAACACAAAACCAAAGCAAAACCTACTGCTGTATCTTTTGGTACAAGGACATCTACAAACATAACGCACCAGACACCGGCTGGTGCTACAAGCGCGCGGGTGAGTACCTGCTGATGCCGTCGCTAGAGTATGCGCCGAATTGTGCGCGAAGCGTTAGACAGCATTCCAACCTCGCGCCTAAAGAAACTTGTAGACGCCTGGAAAGACAAAAGATATCAGGCTTGTAGAAGCTCGGTCTCAAGCGCACATCTCCTTCTACTACCCGACCACTTCCACTGCTAGAGTTTCGGGCTTAAGGGGCTCGGTCTCAAGCGCGCATTACGTTGGCTACCCAGTGTTTCCACTGCTGCTGCACGACAAAGAGATCAAGAGCATCTCTCGCGGCAGGCACGTTTTTATCTCCCGCTAGAAAACTTAGGAAGAGAAAACTATGGCACTCGTACAAATCAACGCGAGGTCCTCACTTGCTGCTGGCCATTGTCGTTTGACCGAAACACACGGATTCCATTCACGAGGCGAATGGTGGGAACACCAACATCACTCCTGACAAACATATACCGCAGACGAATGGATCGACACCGGCGCAAATTGAATTCCCTACCAATGGAAGCACATGTAAACCGACCAAAAAATACCAAAACGAAACGATGGCGACGACGTGGCTGTCTCCGGCAAATCATGACTCCCCCCCTGACTGTCGCGCGACAAAATGACCAGTTAGAAGTCCAGCAAGACCAAGAAGCAGCATTTATCGATCGACGGATCACACCCTTACACAGAACCCGCGCGTCAGCGCACGGCACCCTGACCAATCACATGAAACCATGCGGTCAGAACGAACGTCCGGTACACGCGATTGGAGTATCCCTACGAGCACAACTTGTTCCTGAACGGACACTTGCGATCAGCACTGCAAATACAACATGCCGACAAGCCACATTGTGGCCGAAGTTGTCCCTCGCAAGAATCTTGGAAACTTCTCCGCTTGGCGCAGTCCCCCAGACAAGCGCTAAATGTCGCCGCAACGGATCGATCGAAAACAATCGCTCGAGTCGCCGCCCGCAAAAGCCGAACCCAAGACGAGCAGCCCATCGCTCTTTCGCTGGCGTCTGTAGCATGTCACAAACTACAGCCCGTTAGGGGCAAACATCGGAGCTGCTCTGTTTACACCCTGCACGAGTCGGTGAACATCGGACGGAACGAACTGGCGGCTAGCCCATGAACGAAGGGCGTCAAGCGTTCCTCCCTCGCAACCTCTGCTCTCGGATGCTCTGTTCTCGGAACGATCTCCGGAACATGAGGATCAGAACCGCGCCTGTAGCAGCAAATCAGCGACAGAGAGAACAGACGGGGCAAGCACAGATTCTCATTTTTTCTGAAGGCGTCGGGAGCATGTATCGGTTCGCCACCAGCTAGTTTGTCTTGCAGTAATGTGGCACGACAAGAACGAGACTTCGCCGCATGCTCACCATGTTTCCCGGACGACGGGACATCTACAAATATCGACGGAGTCTGCTGCAATTCGTCAACTTTGACAGTCCAATCCCGGATGATATTACGGAGCACCAAACTGCACATCTCGCATATCTAGAGAGTGCGCTCGACAGCGGCCTGCTGTGCAGTGTAGCAACGGTTTGGTCTTGGTGACTACTCATAGCAATGAGTCATCGACGTTATTTCGTAATGGTCTTACATTTTACCTCCGCAGAACAAAAAAAAAGTACGCATATAAAAAAAAAAAAATCTCAAATTCGGGCCAACGCAACCACTAAATAAAGGCCACAGAGCCACAGAACTACACTTGCCACGTAGAGTAATGCATAATGCTCACCTGCAAAAACGCCCCCGAAGTGTGCCGCGTGGTCGATCCCCTTCACTCCTCCGGCTACCACCATGCGCATCTCCGAAATCACGCTGCTCGCAGTTTCGTCGCAGGACAAGGAAAACGAAAGGGTGTAGGGGGCGGTTGGGAGGTCTGACAAAGGAACGTGTGGGCCATTGGCCAACCGTGGTCGTTGAGGCGGGAACCAGCAGCTGTCAAACAAAACCGGCAGCCCGGAAAAGTTGCGGTACGAAACGAAACAACGTGCTCGAATAACCGACCAGGAGGCACAGCTCTACATACACGGCGGAACAACAAAAAACGGCAAACAAAAAAAAACGAGACAACATTATAACTGTGTGTGTCATCCCGGGTATTCTTGGAATCGACGTTTACACCTTTCGGAACAATTTTGGACGAACCAGCCGCTGGCCGGACCACAACCGGGAGGAAGACTACAGCTGCCTGCGACTTCAACGTCAGGCGCTTTTTACTAAAAAGGAAGGTGAAAACAAGCTGCCGTAGTGAAAACGCCGCCATGTTTCGCGTGCTCCTCGTGTCTCAAGGGCGAAAGGGACTAGAGCACAAACATACCACACAACGCCAGCACAGCCGTAACTAGAAACTGCTAGCGCACTAGGCAGACAGACTCTGCATGTGTCCATGTAGGTACCTGTCGACCCCAACACAGCTACAACGAGGCAACTACTGCTAAGATAGACCACAACACGGCGAACCATATGTGCGTGCATGCACCTACACACCGCAACAGCGCTGTCGCGAGACACTACCACGAACGATAGGCTACTACAACAGGGTGAATCACGCCGCATATGCCCGCTTATGTACGTATTACAGGGCAAAACGAACTAGAACACACACGTACCACACACGGCAACACAGTTGTTGCGAAAGACTACACAGTACAAATTACACGGCAACACCCTGCGTGTCCGACTAGACCATGCACCTGTCGACGACGAACCAGCCAAACACCGCCGCCTCGATAAGCTTCCGAAGGCGGCCGTCAGAGGAGCTACGCCGCCCGAGGTTGAACATCTACCGCGTGCACAATACGAGGGGCACAGCAGCCGGAACGGAAGATACAACGTGTGCAAGGAACAGAACCAATTTAGCCACACGGTTCTTGGCACGGAGTTCGCTGGTGTCGCCCGCCCACGTCAAAACTGAAGGTAGGGGCGTCCTTCCGCGCAGAGTGACGTGGCGGTTTCAGCGGGGGGTTTTCCATCAAATCCGGGAGTTTTCGGCGAGCAAAAAGCAGTCCTGACTGTTCACAAGGAAGCGACCATCGATAGATTTTGCAGGACGCAGAACAGATAATGTGTTCCAGCTACCCACGGGAACTACAAAAAACGACTCGAGACGGGTCAAGAGGTCCAACCGTAGAATACCTTGCCCAACACGCAGACGCTGTAGAGGCCGAAGATCGCCCCGCTTGCCCCGCAGCTTCTGGCGGTCTGAGGCATGATCATCAGGCTCACGAAGCTGGAAGCGACGCCGCACGCCACGAACGACATGAGCATGCCTGTCACCATACACAAAGGCATCACGGCACGTGTCAAAAAGTGGTTGGCCGTTGCCAGCAGCCAGCAAAAAACAGGAGCGCGATATCCCATGCATGAAAATGATCAAGAGGCGAGAAAGCACGTCTGAATTCTTTCCCCGGACAAGCTCGAACTTACTCTAGACCGCTGCGGGCACCTGAGAAAAATCACAAAACAAATACAGCGAAGTAAACGTGAACGATAAACGCTCTCCTCGCGTTCACCCTCCTCGCGCGTGCGCGCGTTCGCGGCATCGAGCACCACCGGGCATAAACGCAATTTTTCTTCAATCGACGAAGCACAAACGTACCCCTCCGGCGCATGTCGGAATTGAGTGCCCAGCAGTCACGCATGTGAAACGACGTACCATACGAGAACAGTGTTCTTCCTGTCGACAAACGGGAGACACACGCATGAAACAACGCGACCACCTCAAAGAAATATATAAGTATATATACTCCCGTGTTCACTATTGGTTTCGTCCCCTGCGCTGTGGACAACGATAGCTTATTCCGTTCCGTATGTTTCTGGACGCACCGGCTGAGGACGGGTGTGTCGCCAACGTAGAAAAAAAACTACAGCCATCTCGCGACAGTAAATAATTTTTCTCACCGACGGAGCCCATGTCCTCCTCCGCCATCTTCCCGAAGATGATGAGGTTGAACATGTTCCCCATCAGGTGGTGCTGGTCGCCGTGAAGGAGACTGCGTTGAAAAGGGGGACGGGAGGGGGGGGTGACGCCAAATCAAATGATGGAAGACTAGTCTACCTACCCACCGAGTGATACAAGAAAACAACCTGGGCTGATTCGCTGAGGGGGATGACGCCGCTGCTACCGATTGCGTCACAGCTCCTCTTGTGTGCGGGCTACGCCTCAGTGAAAGGGGTTCTTATCCGGGCTACGCTTTTGTTGAAGGGGATATTGTACGTCCGATACAACATCGAGCATGAAGTTCCCAACCGCCAAGTTTTCAAGCGCGGGCGTTAGCTGCTGGAAGACTGTGTACACGGAAGCCAAGCACTCGGCCACCAGGAGGCCTACCGACGCAAAAAAGAAAAACGTCAAACGAACCCAGAGACGAAGACAGACCCACAGGGGGGTGACGCAAACGGCAAAATTCAAGCAAAAACTCACAGGGAGGTGATGGACTGCCACCACCGGGGCCGCTGGTGGTTAAGGCTTAGCCCGAAGAGGCGGTCGACGCCGAACAGGGTGTTGAGGGAGAAGAGGCCGAAGCACGAGAGGACCAGGAAGTGGACGGCCATCAGACCCCTCTTCCTGTCCGACAAGGCGGATCCGCCACCTGGATATAGTGTAAGGTGTGAAAAACCACGCGGCAGCATTGTACACGCGTGTGAATTAATTAGTTAAGAGATGACGTGAGACAGGAAACAAGAGAGAGAGCGCCGCAACAAAAAAGTTGGACTCTAGCGGAAGGAACGGGATTGCACCGCAGAGGGATGGACATAATACAGGCACCAACATCTAACAAACGCACGCGAGAACCCACACGGACACTACTAGTCCGGACTGTTGCTTAGCCTCCCCCATGACGATCCCTCACCGCGTCCCAGATGATATAAATAGCGCCTAGAAACATTCTCAACTTTCAGCCGCGCTGAGACTGGTGTCCTTGTATTGGTCAACCGGTCATCACGGTCGATGCTATTAACAAACACACGCACACAACACCCAGGCGTGCCAAGCACCTTCTCCCCACCCTCGAACTGGCCCCTCCCCCTCTCCGTCGTCTCTGCCCACCCCGGCCCTCCCACCCCAACCAAGCTGGGGCCTGGGGTCCGCCCAGATATGATCGGGGTTTACAGCGGTAGCAGGGGCAAACGGACACGGCACAGCAGAGGATCGGTAAGAAAACGGGCGGGACAGGTCTACAAGGATACTCCGCGAGGTAATTTGGCTATGACAGGGAGCGAACGAAACGGGGGAACAGGGAGATATGAAGCTTGGGGCAAAAAAACGTCCCAGTTCGAAGCAAAAGCGAGAGCATAAACAGAAAACACACGCACAGGAAAAAGGGCGACGCAGCCTCAGGGTAAGAAACAGGTGCAGCACGAAGAGGGTATATCGTGAAATGGGGTACAGTACTAGCCAGGGTAAAGCGCGAAGAGGATTCAGCACGAACGAGGGTACACCACTTATTAAGCGCTCAAGAGAAGGATAAAACGGTCGTCAACGGCGCCGGCCTCCTGGAACGTCGAACGACCGTAGCATGCGTGGAAAAAGCAAGGATATGAACTGCCAACATGAACCGGCACTTACATCAGTACTATCAATACAATACACCCGCATCGCCCTGTGTGTCTGGTTGCCATCAACGGTTAGAGTGCATTTCGTGCGCAATCACTCAGGGATTCCCCTCCCCTTCTTACACCGACGAAATAAAGCAAAGTACGGCACAGCAGTTGTCCAACTTGTAGCCCCGCTACTGCAGCAGGGGCACCCTCGAACTAAAAACACGTCTCGCAGCCATCCGCTAGAAACAAGACACGCATCTCACCGTCCTCCCCCGAACCGGCCCCCCGCTTGCTCCTGTTGCTGCTCCATGGGGGGCGCCGTGGGTGCTGCCGATCCGGCAGAGAATAATCCCCTCCTTCCCCCCCTCCTCCCACCCCCCCCACCTGTGGCAGGAATGGTGCAACATTGGCGACAGCGACACGAACTACATTTGAGGTCGCGCAAAAGCATCTTTCTCTCTCTCTCTCTCTCTCTCTCTCTCTCTCTCTCTCTCTCTCTCTCGGTGCGTCTATTTCTTTCCCGCTCTCTGTCTCTCTCTCGCTTTCTCCCTCCGTCCTGTGGTCACTGCCATCATGAGAGCGGACGCTTATTGCGGAGGACTTTCCCCCTGTTGTCAGCGCCGCTGCTGCAACGTACGAGGAGAGTGGGTTGCGGCCGGCCAATATTCGAAAAAAAATGAACCTGTCCGAATACCTGTACGCCCCAGTCCGAGGACACGTTCGCGAGAATCAGCTGGGCGTTCGATATGCGCTGACGCGACCAAAAAAAAAAAAAAAAACACATGGAAACCTTCATGTACTCGAGAATGGCCCTACACCACTGTCACCTCCACTTATCGGTACTTGTATCAAAGCAATTTTGTGTCCTGAAACATATCAAAGCCCCAGAATAAAGTATCACAGCACAAAAACATTGGGACTGGGCTGGGAGTGGCCATGCCTACTGTACAGGGTTGAGAATCTCGCGCGAACCGGAGTGCGCCGCTTGCCTGCATCTGGGGGCCCCACGGTCTTAACCCTCTCTCTCGACGATCCGCCCTCGCCGCCGCCGCCGCCAATGGCGCTGAAGAAGCCGCCGCCGCCACCGCCGTTACCGTCGTCGCTGCCCGGGGCAGTGGGGGGCAGCCGCGTGTTTAGGTCGGGCGGCCCGCGGGTTTCGATTCTTGGCCGCTTGTCGCCGTTCTTATCGCCGTTCTTGTCGCCGTTCTTGTCACCGTTGTTGTTGTCCGGCGATCCGCCGCCCCAAGATGCGCCGAACATGCCGGAGGCTCCCCGCCTAGCGGAGGGCTGCCGTTGCTGCTGGCGCTGCGGCTGCTGCTGCTGCTGTAGCCGGGGCAGAGGACGCGTTTTCGAAAAGAAGGTCGCAGGTTGACTTCGAAGGCCGGGCATACTGGTGGCGCTGGTGACGCCCTAACGGTATCCCTACTGCGGCAGCGATTCAGCTTTTCATCGGCCGCACATTATTAACTCCACCCCGGCATCGGAGATCATGTCGCACCGCGACCTACCCGAACAATCGGGGTATCATAACCGTTACTGCTGGAGACAACAACCAGCAGGTAAAATGAACAAACCACGCAACGAGAGCAGCGTCACCTCTTACCTCAGGCGAACCCCAGCTGAACCCCCCCCCACGGAGAGACGAAAAGGCGTGAAAGGCTAGCATTCGGTCACCCCTGCAAGAAACGGCCATCAACGACGAAAACGTGCCGCGCGCGAGTTGTGATACGTTAAACCTCCCTTTCCCCACAGGACTCTCCCCGCTACCGGCGGCTTCTCCAAGCTGCAGCAAAACCATCCCGACATGCGCTCTGGCAACATATGGAACCAAGGACGCACGAACACACATCAAAAGCCCTCGAAAAACAACTGGAACCAACAGCGATACCATGTTTGTACAGCCAAAATCGTGCAGCAACAAGCGGCAGTCGCCAACCGCAACCCCGCGCACCTGGCACCAGTCGCGCCGACCTTGTTACACACGGGCGGGACGAACGCGTTCAACCCACAGGAAGGCCCTCGCGGGAGCGCAGGAGGGTTTGAAGGCAGAGCCTTCACCAGGGGGGTACGCGGACAAAAATAGGGGTGGAGTGAGGCACGGTAGCTCCACGAAAGGCACACATCAAACTCGCGTTGTGGGAAAACGTTTTGAAAATCTGCGGGCACCGCGATGAACGATGCACGTCATAGAAAATAGCGGCGAACGAGCAAACATGTTCGATGTTCCGCCCCTTCGGACTATCCATCAAGATCCCCAGGGCCGGCCCTCAGCACAACGAAGACACGGACCCGGAAATAAACAGGTGGCGGTTGAAACAATGTCACAACACGAGGGACGCCAGTACACCCGCTAAGCAACAACAGGCCTTGCCCCATTCTGCTCGGGCGTCAAAAAAGCAGAAGAGTATATTGAAATTTTGGGCAGAACCCGAGCACATATGACCGAACTGAGCATATTTGGCCCAGGGTCGAGCATAAATGGCAGTTTTGGGCAATTTTGTTGGAGCGTATTTGGCCCGAAAAAAAAACATATGTTCACGGAACAAAAGGGGCTGAAAAAAAAAAAACGCAGAATGGGGCAAGGCCTGAGCAACAACAGAGGGCAAACACTCCTGCTAAATAGCACAGCCATGACCAACGAATGACAAAGACAAGCGCTTATAGCAGGACCGTCCCGAAAATGAAAACCGATGACCTCAACACACCTCTGAGCCCGCGACGTGGGAGAGAGCCATTGCAGCGAAGACGGCCGATGCGAGAAGATGCATGCCTGTAATGACATTCGGGGATGAAGCGGGAGACATCGGGAAATGCTGGAGGACAAAAAACGTGCTACTTCTGCTGTGGTAGGCGGAAAGATGCTACAAGTAGGCTCTGTGCGTGCGCAGCGAATTTTTCGTTGTCACCTCCCCTACTGCCGTGTTACTAACGCGAGTGATGGAGTGACGGAAGTATCGCCCACCAGCAGTGTGTTGGTGATATACTACTCACGCAGCACGCCTATCTTCTTGCTGCCACCATCGCAGCTACCCGATTCGCCACAAGCAATGCCAGGCTGGTCTCATTTTACGTCGGACAGCACACCCCTCTCAGGAGTCTTTCAAGAATATCGTTGGCAAACAATGGTTGAAATATTCATTGCCACCAGAGCCAGTGCATCAAATCAGCCCGTTGCTGTATACCAGTACCTGGTTCGGCGTTCCTCTCTAGCAACCCATCCCTAAACCACAGGACCGCCATGACCTGCTGGTTGGTGTTTCCTGCCCTCTTGAGGCCACCTTGAATGTAAATCAATTGTGTGGCCTCCTCACTCAGATCGGGGTCTAGCTTCGCTGGCCTCAGGGCCTCTTGGACTTCTTCGATCCAGACAGTCTGCATTAGAGAAGTAGCCCGATCTGAGTGTCGGGAT